GCTGAGGGAGCGCCGCGCTGTCGGAGGGTCAGCGCTGAGGGAGCGCCGCACTGTCGGAGGGTCAGCGCTGAGGGAGCGCCGGGAGTCACTCAATGCAGTATTCCTAGCCTCTGACCTGCTTTTGTAGCCACTGTATTTGTACGGTTAGTCCAGTTCAGTTTCCAGTCAATAGTAAACTCCAGCATTTTGAAGATTGAGGATTAAGAGTGTTAATTGCAGACTGTATCACAAACTCAACATTAATTTACAGACCCATGAAATCGACTTTGTTGGAATATGAGCAGCAGGAAGGAAACGGTATAGAAATGGTTAACAAGGAGTCAAAACCAGACTGCTCGCCTTCGGTCACATACCTGAAAGGAGAGGGTGAATGTATTCCATTCTTCATGCCACTGATTGTACAAGAAACCAATTGCAACAGCACACACAGCTAATACCAGAACAATCCCAATCTGAGAAAGACAGGAAATGAGAGACAGAGAGCGAGAATGAGAAAGCTAATGCGTGAGGCTTGAAACTCATGTCAACGCACCTCAGCGGAAATAAAGTTTTGACAGCACCATAGGATCTCACAGAACACGAGAGGGGCTAAGTGTACAGTAGGGTAATGTCAATGGACTCTGAAGCCCTGCCTAATCATAGAATCCCTACAGTGTGGAAACAGGCCCTTCGGCCCAACAATGCACACCGACCCTCTGAGCGTCCCACCCAGACCCATCCCCCTATAACCCACCTAATCTACACATCCCTGGACACCCTAACCTGCACATCTTTGGGACAGCAGGAGGAAATCGGAGCACCCGGAGCAAACCCACGAAGACTAATGTTCGGAGGAGTGAGTTCAAATCCCACCATTTTGTCGGGACGGAATTTAATATCAAAAGATCTTGTGGCACAGTGGTAGTGCCTCTACCTCTGGGCAAGAAGGTCTGAATTCAAGTCCCAGATGTCCTAAATATGTGCTGTAACATACCAAAAAAAACCAAAATAAATGCTGGGAATCTGAAACGAACACAGAGAATGCTGGAGAAACTCAGCAGGTCTGGAAGCATGTGCGGAGAGAGAAACAGAGTTAACGTTTCGAATCCAGTTTGACTAATCTTCAGAACCAGTTGTTACCAGTGGCACCCATATCCCATGAAAGAATTTTTAAAAAGACCCTTCAGCCCATCAGGCCTATACTGACACTCAAAGAAAGCTGTCCAGTTTAGTCCCACACTTCAGCATTTTAACCCTGCAAATGAGATTTTTTTATTCATTCACGGGATGAATGTCTAGGCAGCATTTATTGCCCATCCCTAATTGCCCACACAGCAGTTAAGAGTCAAACACATTGTTGTGGGACTTTAGTCACATGTAGGCCAGAGAAAAGGACAGCAGTTTTCTTCCCTGAAGGACATTAGTGAGCCAGATAGGTTTTTCCAAAATTCGACAATGGTCATCACTAGACTCTTAACTCTAGGTTTTTATTGAATTCCACCATCTGTCGTGATGGGATTCGAACCCAGGTCCCCGGAACATTACCTGGGTCTCTGGATTAATAGTCTAATGATAATATCACGAGGCCTATCAAAGACACATCTAACTGGCTTATAAAGGTTCCCATGGAAACACCCCTTCAGACTGTGCATTCAATTCTCTGTATGAAAATGTCTCTCTTCATTTCCCTCTCATTCTGTTACCAATTATTTCCTCATCTGGTTAATGATCCACTTTCCAGAAGAAACCATGTCGTGTGGAATTGGGCCCTTCTGTCACCTTCCCTGCTCCAAGAAGAACAGTGCAAACTTCTCCTCTTCCTCCACGTACCTGAAACCTCTCAACCCCGTCACCCTTCCTGCATCCTCTCCGCACAGCCTTGTCATAATTCCTAAAATGAGTGGCAAGCAAGCAAGGATCCTTTATTCATTCACAGGATGAAGACGTTGCTAGCTAGGCCAGCATTTATTGCCCATCCCTAATAGCCCAGAGGGCAGTTAAGAGTCAACCATGTTGCTGTGGGTCTGGAGTCACGTGTAGGCCAGACCAGGTAAGGCTGGCAGTTTCCTTCCCTAAAGGACATTAGTGGATGGGACTCAAGTAAGAAATTGTTCAGGTTTGGCAAAACATATTGACTGGCACTAGTTTGAGAACAGAGGAAGGCCGCCCTATCATTGCAGAGAATTTACACCATGGGCCATTTACAGAAGAATATAAGAACTAGTAGGCCATTCAGCCCCTCCAGTCTGTTCTGCCATTTGATACAATCATGGCTAAACTTTATCTCAGTCTCATCTCCACTTTCCTGCCCACTCACCATAACCCTTCAACCCGTTACTGATTAAAAGTCTGTCTGTTTGCTCATTAAATTCATTCAGTTTGGCCTGATGAGTCTATTGGCATTTACCATCCCTGTGAAAGATGCAGGGAATTTTAAAGACTGCCTGAATTAATTATGTTTTGAAAATTAAAAGTTAAATAAAACCTCCGTTTTAAGATTTGCCTTCTTGATTTAAAGTGCTTTCAGCTCCCCAATCGTCTGGAATCACCGTCGGCCCTGCTAGGGTATTTGGAACTCACCATTCCATCAATTTTCCCGATTTTCACTTGGGTGGGGAGCTTATGAGGTTAGAGAGGCTGTACAAATGCACGTTGCAGCCGTTGTTGTCGAGAAAGTGAATTTGGCTCGCCCATCCTCCCCGCTCCCGATGCAATCCCCCCACCACCACCACCATCCCCCCTCCCCCACCAACCCTCACCCCGCCCCACCATTCCCTTCTCCCTCGGATATCCCACATGTGGAGAGGGTGTGTACCTTGTGACCCCAGAATAGGTGCAGACGTTGACCTTCACTGAGTAAACATATCGCCAGGACCTGCAAAGCACAAAGTTAAAATGTAACGCTTTCTAACCAACGTCAATCCTACTGAAGCAGTAACAACTGATCTAGCCGCTTTCACATCCTCCCAAAACATCATACAGCCCAGCAAGTACTTTTGGTCAAGGTGTAGTCCCAAGTTGTAATGTAGGAAACCCAGAAATTAACCATAGAGTCACACAGCATGGGCACAGACCCTTCGGTCCAACTCGTCCATGCCGACCGAGTTTCCCAAACTAAACTAGTCCTATTTGCCTGCGTTTGGCCCATATCCCTCGAAACATTTCCTATTCACATACCTGTCCAAATGTCATAGTCAGAGAATCACACATTAGGGAAACAGACCCTTTGGTCCAACACATCCATTCTGACCATATATCCTAAATTAATCTAGTCCCATTCGCCAGCATTTGACCCATATCCCTATAAACCCTTCCTGTTCATATACCCATCCAAAAGCCTCCACCACTTCCTCTGGCAGCTCAATCCGTACACACATCACCCTCTTGTGTGAAAAAGTTGCCCCTTAAATCCCTTTTAAATCTTTCCCTGCTCACCTTAATCCCCTCTAGTTTTGGACTCCCCTACCCTGGGAAAAAGACATTGTCTATTCACCTTATCCATGCCCCTCATGATTTCATAAACCTCCATATGGTTAGCCCAACCTCCAATGTTCCAGAGAAGAAAGTCCCAGCCTATTCAGCCTTTCCCTATAGCTCAACCCTGGCAACATCCTTGTGCATAGCAAGATGCAACAAGCGGCAATGTGATTTTTGAAAACGTCTTTCATGGGATGTGGTTGTCACTGACGAGGCCAACATCAGATGTTCATCTCGAATTGCCTTCAACCTGATTGACCTGCTAGGGACAGTTCAATTAGGAGGCACATGTTGCCTACTCCAGGTAAGGGTGGAAGATTCCCTTCCTAAAAGGGCATTATTGACCATGAGAGATTTCTTTTTTCTTTATTCATTCAGGGGATGAGGGCATCGCTGGCCAGGCAGCATTTATTGCCCATTCCGAATTGCTCAGAGGGCAGTTAAGAGTCGACCACATTTGCTGTGGGTCTGGAGTCACATGTAGGTCAGGCCAGGTAAGGATGGCAGTTTCCTTCCCTAAAGGACATGAGTGAACAAGATGGGTTTTTCCTGACAATCGGCAATGGATTCATGGTCATAATTAGACTCTTAATTCCAGATATTTATTGAATTCAAATTCCACCATCTGCCGTGGAATTTGAATTCAATAAATATCTGGAATTAATTTCATTGTAACTGGAGTAATGATGCTGTGGCTTTAAGAGGTGTATATTGCCCATGTGTGTGTTTTTTTTTTAAAGAGAGAAGTTTTAAGGCAGAGGTTTCAAGGTTTTTTTCCAAAGCTGGAACAATAGAAGCAGCCTGAGTGGGTGTGGTCAAGTTCCCACAGAACCAGGCATTTTAGTTCCAATTTTCGTTAGCAGCAGTTGTGACTGGGACCTTAGCCAGGTTTGGAAGCTGCAGTTCATCTCTCCCTGCTACATTCTCTCAGAGTTTTCTCTTGATGTTTTTCTTCCTGGGCTGCTAGAATTGCATGTGAGACAATCTATTTTGCTGAATTTGCCTTTGGCAAGGGTGCGTATATGGGATGTTACTATTTTCGAACAGTTGCTGTTTCGTATTTACATAACCTATTATTCTGTTTAGTTTTCCAGTAGAGTTGTTATTCCAAATTCTTTCTTTCTTTTGTTGTATTTTAACTAGAGTGTATGAATGAAGTGTGTTTTGATTCAAATCTGATAGCTTGACCAATCAAATTGTACCTGGAATGCAACACCTTACACATCTTTTAAATGAGAAAAAGTTAGGATCTAGGCTATCTTCTGAATGTATTTTGAAGGAGTTTAGTCTGGTCCATAACACTGGTGATATCACCAATCTCATGTTTACTGAGATTAGCTTCACATACCAGATTTACTAATATTATTTAAATTCAATCAGCTGCTGTGGTGTGATTTGACCCCAAGTTCCCAGAGCTTGGTCCTCTGGGTTGCTACTGTTCCACTGTTTTCCCCAATAATAGGGGAAAATAATAATTAGATAAACTGGGTTTTAGCCAGGCTACTAGGTGGATATTATTGCTGGGACACCAAGGATAATTTCCCTGCTCTTATCAGAAATAACACTGGCCCAGTTAACAATACCATATCCTGTGAACAGATACATTTTGAACAAATATTTAGTTGGCTGTAAACACCAATGAGATGTCCTGAGCTGTGAAACACAATATAAATGTATTAATCACTAACTTTGTGAATTAACTCACCTAAGCCTTTTCTCCCAGACATCTGAGCTCTTGCTGTGTAGTGTATGGTCGTTAAGGGAGGCCTACCCGTTAGGCTGCGCTGCACAGTTCACTTACCAGTAAAATAGCGATGTATGTAAAAAATGTGGCTGTCACCCCAAGGACCACTATAGACCAGGGAATCCACTTGCCGCTATAAAAATTCCTAGGGAAGGGGAGAAACAAATAAGTAAGTCATAATGCAAGAAACAGGAGCAGATGTAGGTCCTTGGCCCACTCAGTCTGCTGCAGTATTCAGTGTAATCACGGCTGATCCCATACCTATAATGTAAAGCTATAGGTAATGTGCCCATTACCTATAGTGTTACACTCGTTTTACTGCTACAAAATCGAAATGCACTGAGGCCAGTGTCCTATCACCAAATCCCCCAATATTTACTGGTGCACAGCACACTGACTGTGGACAGCCTGTTCAGAGTCAGTCCCTGAACTGAGGAGATTCTAACCTCCTGCTTATATTTGTCAGCCAGGGCTTTCCCGATTAGCCCAGGTTAACAAACCCAAACAAGACCCTCATAGTTAATGAGGTCAACCTGGTCCCAATCACGACATCCCAGCATCAACCCTCTCCCCAGGTCCGGGCATGTAGGCCTGGTCTGCCGCTTGTAGCTTCACTTGCAACGCTTTCTCCCCACGTCTAGTTCCCCCGACTCAGACTCAGACTCAGACACAGGCGGTGTGTACCAGACTGTGGCCCGTCTCTTGCGTCTGGAATGTATCGGAAGAGTCCCCTCCTCTTCTTCCGGCAGCAACGGTATCAAGGCTGCATCTATTTCAGACTCTGAGGATTCCCCGACACCAGATGGAGGGGGAGAACCTGAGGTTTCTGCTGGGCCTTCAGGTTCTTCTGAGGGGCCGGGTATGTTCTGCTCCTGCCCCGTATGTGAGGTACTGGCTTTCAGGTGATCCACCTGTTTATACTGGGCTGTATCACCTACCCAAACTTTGTAAGTCTCACACCAACCTCACTTGTACCCATACGGGGCCATTTCCATGGTTCCAGCGCCAAACTTCACTCTTTATTTACAAGTACACAGTTCTGTGTACTGTGGCCAGCCAATTTGAAGTCAGTCCTCAACTGAAGAGATTGTAATCTCCTGGTTATGTTGGTCATTTCCCGATTAGCCCAGGTTAACAACCCCAAACAAGAACCTTGTAGTTAATGAGGTCCACCTGGTCCCAATCACTACAAAAATATTTAATGTCAACCATGCAGAGGCTATTTGATCCAGTGAGATGTAATCAGCACTTGGAAAAAAAAAATCTTCAATTTGTTTGATTTCCCTACTCAAATACAAAACACAGTAGGAGGCCATTCACCCCACCATATCTGCGCCAGCTCTCAGAAAGGGCATTTCCCTTGGAGCCATTCTCTTGTCTTGACCCTAGCCTTGCATATTCTTCCTTTTCAAATAATCATCTCCTTCCCTTCCTAATGTTTCCTCTGCCACACTCTCGGGAGGTACCTTTCTGACCCCAACCAGTTACTGCATGAAAAAATATTTCCGTCATGCCACGTTTGTGGACCCCTTCATGATTTTGAATGCCCCTATTAAATCTCCGTTACCTGTGCCAAGGTGGACAATCTCAATTTCTCCACTCTCACTACATAACTGAAGCCTCCTCGCTATAATAAGACCATAAGAAATCGAAACACGAGCAGGCCATTCAGCCCCTCAAGCCTGCTTTATCATCCAGCAGGCTTATGGCTGATCCAACACTCCACACGTCCACTTTTCTAACCTATCCCTGTAATCCTTGATTCCCAACTGATCAAGAATCTATCTATCTCAACCTTAAATATACACAAGGACTCTGCCCCCACAGCTCTCTGTGGCAAGGAGTTCCAAAGACTCACAACCCTCTGAGAGAAGAAATTCCTCTTCATCTCAGTCTTAAATTAGTGCCCCTTTATTCTGTGACTATATCCTCTCTGGTCCTAGCCTCTCCCATGAGGGGAAACATCCTCTCAGCCTTTACCCTGTCAAACCCCATAAGAATCCAATATGTTTCACAAAGATCCCCTCTCATTCTTCTAAACCCCAGTGAACAGAGTCCCAACCTGGTTAGCCCTGGTTCATAAGATAATCCCTCTATACCAGGGATCATCCTGATGAACCTTCTCCAAACTGCTTCCAATGAAATAATGTCTCTCCTTAAATAAGGGGACCACAACGGCTCTCCAGATATGGCTCACCAGCACCTTGTCCAGTTGTAGCCAGTTGCAGTAAGACTTCCTTACTTTTATACTCCAACCCCCTTGAAATAAGAGTCGAAATTCCATTATCCTTCCCGATTACTTGCTTTACCTGTATGGTAGCCCTTCTGTGTTTCAAACAGACGTTTTCTCCCTGCAGCTTCGGAGACTGAGGGGTGACGTTATACAAGTTTATAAAATCGTGAGGGGCATGGATAAAGTAAATAGTCAAGGTCTTTTCCCCTGGGTGGGGGAGTCCAGAACTAGAGGGCACAGGTTTAAGGTGAGAAAGATTTAAAAGGGACCTGAGAGGCAACATTTTCATGCAGAGGGTGATGCGTGTATGGAACAAGCTGCCAGAGGAAGTGGTGGAGGCTGGTACAATTACAATATTTAAAAGGCATTTGGATAGGTATATGAATAGGAAGGGTTCAGAGGGATATGAGCCAAATGCTGGCAAATGGGACCAGATCAGTTTAGGATATGTGGTCAGCATGGACAAGTTGGACCAAACAGTCTGTTTCCGTGTGTACAACTCTATGGTTCTAAGTGCCTTTGTGTTGCAGCCTTCTGCAGTTTTCTTGATTTAAATAATATCCTGCTCCTTAGTTCTCACTTCCAAAATGAACTACTTTGCATTTTCCAACATTATACCCCACTTGCTAACTCTTAACCCTATCAATACTTCACCTATCAATATCTCTCTATAAACTGTTCGTATCCTTCTCGCAACCTACCTTTCTACTTATTTTTGTGTCATCTCCAAATTTGGCCAGAGTGTATTTATATCTTTCCTCCAAGTCATTTATATGTATTGTAAACATTTGTAGTCCCAGCTCTGAACGCTGTGGAACCCCACTGGTTACAAGTCACCAACCTGAAAAAAGGGGTTCTGAGAAAGGGTCACCAGCTCTGAAACGTTAACTCTGATTTTTTCTTCACAGATGCTGCCAGACCTGCTGAGCTTTTCCAGAAACTTCTCCCAAGAAAGAACCTGTCACCCCAATTACCGTTTCCTGTCCATCTGCCAATTCTCTAACCACACCAATACACTACACCCAACACCATGGGATCTTCTGTAATAATTAAATCTATGTGAGATATCTTTGTTGAACACCTTTCGAAGTCCAAATACAACACACTCACTGGTTCTCCTCTAGCCACTCTGGTTATACCGTCCTCTAAAAAGCTCTAACAAATTAGTCAGACACAATGTCCCTTTCGTGAAGCCATGCTGTCTCTGCTGGATTAGCACCATTTCAGCAAAACTACACCATGCTCTCTTCAAGGCTTTAATATCCTTCTCAAAATGTAGTGCCTCCAGCTGAGGCCTAATTGTAATAAGACCATAAGACATAGGGGCAGAAATTAGGCCATTCGGCCCATCGAGTCTGGTCCGCCATTCAATCATGGCTGATAAGTTCCTCAACCCCATTCTCCTGCTTTTTCCCCGTAACCCTTGATCCCCTTGATAATCAAGAACCTATCTATCTCAGTCTTAAATGTACTCAATGACCTGGCCTCCACAGCCTTCTGTGGCAGTGAATTCCATAGATTCACCACTCTCTGGCTGAAGAAAGTTTCTCGTTATCTCCGTTCTAAAAGGTCTTCCCTTTACTCTAAGGCAGTGCCCTCGGGTCCTGGACTCTCCTACCAATGGAAGCATCTTTCCAACATCCACTTCGTCCAGGCCATTCAGTATTCTGAAAGTTTCAATTAGATCCCCCCTCATCCTTCTAAACTCCAATAAGTATAGTCCCAGAGTCGTCAAAAGTTCCTCATATGTTAAGCTTTCCATTCCTGGGACCATGATTTATCAGGTTTTGTCATAAGTTCCTTGTCTTTGTACTCTGTGCCAATGTTTATAAAGTCAGGAATCTCGCGTGCTTTTGTTCAAACAGCCTTATTGATTCGTTCTGTCACTTTCAAAGCTGCACTTCCATGAAACTATTCAACAATGTCTTCATCTGAAAAATACCTGTCAGTGACTGATGTTTCTGTGCTCAGGTATCAAATGGGTTTCATCCATGAAAGTGAAGGACACAGGGGAGGTAAGCCCCTGAAGGCTTAATCTGATGGCTGGAGCAAATAGAAATGTTTAAGTGAGGTCTGAAAGCTCCTATTGGCTCCTTGATCCAGTAGGAATAACTTTAGACTGATATCCGAGGCACTTCTGGAATCTGCATCGCGCATTTTGACTTTTGATTTTCTCCTGTCTAATCTCGTTCAGTTTTGTTGATTAGAAAATTCCTTCAATCTCTATTGCTAAGGAGTAGAAGGAGGCAACAAAAACAGAAATTGCTGGAAGAGCTCAGCAGGTCTGGCAGTATCTACGGAGAGAAATCAGAGCCAACACTTTCGGTTTTTATTGAGTAGCTGGAAGCCTGAGTTTAACCTCCCATCTCATCAGCACTGCCAGCAGTGCAGCACTCCTTCAGTAATGCACCAGAGTGTCAGGTTCAGTTACAGCTGGATGAAGTACAGCCCACGAGGAGTTCCCATTCTGGTTCATGGCTTCAGCAATGAGTATGCAGCCTGGCCAATCATCAGTAAGAGTATTTAATGGAGTGGAAATTAAAGATTATTTGTTGGATCAATTGATTTGTAATTTGCTTTTGTATCTATCTCCTTCCTGAGTACTCTGCCTGATTACAGGTCCTCGGCAGGTGACAGCAGTGTGCTATTCTGGGTGCAGAAAGGAGGCCAGCACAAAAATAACATAGTCAGAACATGAACCAAACTACAACGTGTTGATGCGATTAATTTGATCCACAGGTTGGCTATCCAGCTAACAGAGCCATGCAAGCACAAGCCAAACAGAGGCATGCCAGGGAATTCCTGGAGGCCTGGTATTCCAACCGGAACTCCGTCAACAAACACATTGAACTGGACCCGATACACAAACCACTGAGAAGCAAAACTGGAAGTAATGCTAACCACCCCAGCAAACCCCGAGCCATAAAGCGGGACAGAACACCAGTGCTTCACTGGAGGCGCACTGACCATGTTACCTAGCAGGGTGATGAAACGTCTGCAAGGGGAACTTGCAGGGGGATGGTGTTGCCATGTATCTGCTGCCCCTTGTCCTTCTGGTTGTGTGAACTTTGGAAGGTGCTGTCTGAGGATCCCTGGTGAATTTCTGCAGTGCGGCTTGAGTGCTTTGTTTATCAAATGACTATGGAATGAGTGAGGTTCTATTGCAGGAGAGTACAAAGGTGCAAGACTGTAGGACGGAAGACGAGCTGAAACAAAAAATATACAGGGAGAGAGAGATAACAGCTCGGCGAGCAAGTCTACAACCTCATCCACAACCCGAGCTACAAATCTTCTCAAAAACTTTAAGCACATAAACTATCATTTCAAGGAATCAACTTATTTTTCATTTCGGTTTTAATACGTTTTATGAGGAAAAGGTAGAGAAACTAAACCAGTATCCTCCAGAGTTTGGAACAGTCCGGGGTGACTCAATTGAAGCAGATAAGATCACGAAGGAAACAAAAACAGAAATTGCTGGAAAAGTTTAGTAGGTCTGGCAGCAACTACGGAGAGAAATCAGGGTTAACGTTTTGGGCCCAGAACTTTAACTCTGCTTTATCTCTTCACAGATGCTGCCAGGCCTGCCCAGCTAGTCCAGCAACTTCTGTTTTTGTTTCTGATTTCCAGCATCCGCAGTTCTTTCAGTTTTTATTACAGTCCTGAAGGGACTTGAACGTGTGGATGTGGAAAGAATGCTTCTTCTTGTGGGAGAATCTAGAACTATAGTAGATAATAGGTTACTGTTTCTGGTAACTGAAGGATTGGTAACTAGAGGACACAAGTTTAAAGTAATGAACACAGGCACAAGTCAGGAGTATGATGGCTCTGAGATGTGGACTATCTACAGCAGACACCGCAAGGCACCAGAGCAGTACCACCAATGCTGCCTGCACAAGATCCTGCAAAGTCACTGGGAAAACAGACACACCAACACCAGCGTCCTCAACCAGGTCAACATCCGCAGCATCGAGGCACTGACCACCCTTGAGCGGCTACAATGGGCTGGGAACGCCATCCACGTGACCGACACGAGGCTCCCCAAGCAGGTGCTCTACTCCCAGCTCCGAAATGGCAGCTGAGCCCCAGGTGGACAGAGGAAGAGCTTCAGTGGCACCCTCAAGGCCTCACTGGCAAAGTGCAGCATCCCCACAGGCACCTGGGAATCAGTGGCCTAGAACTGTCCAAAATAGAGGAGGAGCACCCAGGAAGGCGTCGAGCGCCTCGAGACTCGTCAGGAAAAAATGGAAGGCGGGCGAAAACAGAGAAAGGGAGGCACTGCCACACTAGTGCCACACTAGTGCCCCACTCACCCCTTTCCCGTGATCACCATCTGCCCCAAGTGTAACAGAGCCTGCGGTAACCACAACATTCTGTACAGCCACCTACGGACTCACCCTGAGAGTGAAAGAGAGTCATCCTCATCAGCGAGGGACTGCCAATGACAATGACTCCCCACGTGGCTGGATGGGTGCAGCTCCAATAACACTCCCTGTATATTTTCTGAAGAAGGGTCTAGGCCCGAAATGTCAGCTTTCCTGCTCCTCTGATGCTGCTTGGCCTGCTGCTTTCATCCAACTCTACACCTTGTTATCTCTCTCTCCCTGTATATTTTTTGTTTCAGCTCGTCTTCCGTCCTACAGTCTTGCACCTTTGTACTCTCCTGCAATAGAACCTCACCCATTTGTTAAACAAAGCAGTTACGAGTTGAAATATGATGCCTCATGCAGTGTCTATTGTCTACAAGCCGCACTGCAGAAATTCACCAGGGATCCTCAGACAGCACCTTCCAAAGTTCACACAACCAGAAGGACAAGGGGCAGCAGATACATGGCAACACCATCCCCCTGCAAGTTCCCCTCCAAGCCACTCACCAGCCTGACTTGGAAATATATTGCTGTCCCTTCAGGCCAAAATCCTGGAATTCTGTCTCTAGCAGTATTGTGGGTCAACCCACTGCACATGGACTGTAGCAGTTCAAGAAGGCAGCTCACTACCACCTTCTCAAGGGCAACTAGGGATGGGCGATAAGTGCTGGACTTCCAGCAAGACCTACGTCCTGTGAATAAGTAAAGAAAAAACTTCCTGAAAAGAAACTTAGCTGCCCCATATCGTATGCTCAACAAGGCGACAAACTCACCAATCAAAATCATTGTAGTCGTTCTTGGCTTCCCCCCAAAAGTAAAGGAGTACAAAAGCCAGGCCAAATGTCGAGACCAGAATTCCAAAGCAGAATAACTCAAACTGGAGAACAAGAAAAAGAATGGCAACGGAAGAAAATTAAGAAATTATAGAATCAAACAAAGATCCCAGAGATGACTGTAAATGTCTTGTGATTTAGACCATTTGGCCTAGTGTGTGTGGGCTGCCAGTTTGAAAGAGATCTCTAATTTGACCAACCATTCTATTATGGGTGGCATGGTGGCTCAGTGGTTAGCCCTGCTACCTCACAGAGCTAGGGACCTGGGTTCAATTGCAGCCTGTGTGGAGTTTGTACATTCTCCCTGTGTCTGCATGGGTTTCCTCCGGGTGCTCTGGTTTCCTCCCACAGTCCAAAAGATGTGCAGGTTAGGGTGGCTTGGCCATGGGAAATTGCCCATTGTGTTCAGGGACATGTAGGTTAGGTGGATTAGCTGTGGGGAATGCAGGGTTGTGGGGACAGAGTAAAAGAAGGTGAGTGTGGGTGTGATACTGTCCAGAGGGTCAGGATGGGCTGAATGGCCTGCTTCTGTGCTGTAGGGATTCTACACTTTTTCTCTCTACAGTTCAGCAAATCTTTCCCATTCAAGCACTGCCTGGTGGTTGCACCTGCTTCCTCTACTTTCCATGCAACGCATTCCAACTTGTTACGGTAACATACTTCTCATTTTCCACACTGGTTCCTTTACCAATTAACATGGCGAATGATTCTCTAACCCGTGCAAACACTTTCAACTTGTCTAGTCCAGCATTCTATTCTGGGCGTTTACGTTAAATTTACACTTCCCCTTGTCTGCCCTTTAACAGTCCAGGAGGGTCCCCAACCTGTGACAAATGTGAGGATATACACTGTTACAGTCAAGATAGGAACACTGCACTCTCTCTCTAATTCTACTACTCCATGGGTCACAGCATAAAATTAACTGTTTTACCCAGTTACCATTTTGGCTTATTATAAATGTTTTCTATATCAGGTTTAGTATAAAAAGATTTTACACACACACATACCCACACACACACACACCCACATACACACACACACACCCACACACACCAGATAAAGGAAACTAGAAAACAGATGTCTGCGGAGATTCAGTTTGGTTAAAAGAGAACAATAATTGTTAGTTCTTGAAGGCAAAAAGGTCAAGGTGTGGAATATTCAGATGGTTGTTTCTATGGACCTTGTGGGCAGCGTTTGTGGACAGAAATCAGAGTGAATGTTTTGGGTCGGTTCCTCAGAACTGATGGTAGCTTAGGAATGCTGACAGATGCTGCCAGACCTGCTGAGTTTTTCCAGCAGTTTCTGATTTTTGTCTCTGATTTACTGTTTCCACAGTTCTCTCAGTTTTTATACATTTACACTCATCTCTGGGATCTTTATGGGCACAATCTTCAGCAAATATCGAGACAAAACTCCCTCAAAGCCTTCCCACTAGACTGGTACCAGGAACCACATCGGATATACAGCGAAGGCCTTTCTCAGAAACAGGAAGGTTGAGCTTGGAAGCCTCTGGCCTTCAGCAGGCTGGATGTGAACTTCAGCTTCCTCCAAAGGCACAGTTTGAATAGAAACTAGCTTTCCGAAAGTCGGTAAACCCAAGCTGGGGAGCTCTATCAAACAAGTGCAGCAATTGGCTGAAACCATGTGGTTTCCAAGAAATAGGTCTGTTAGGAGAAAGGAGAAATGTCTTCGCCCGGGAAGCGAGGAGCCTGTAGAATTCTCTTTCACTGAATGCAGTTGAGGACAAAACATTGTTTGCAAGAAGGAACTGGATATAGTTCTCAGGGCTAAAGGGGCCAAAGGGCATAGGGAGAAAGAGGGAATTGGGTGATAATGTAGAATGGGACAGCAGGCTCAAAGGTCTTCAATTTTCAATGTTTCTAAAGACACCAACTTTTTGATGGTGCCTTCAGTGCACTAATCTAATATCTCCCTGTGTGGCTCAGTGATATATTTTCTCCTCGTTTCAGCCCTAAATGGCTCCTACCCCATATTCTTAGACTGTGACCGCCCGGTTCCAGACACCCTGGTCATTGGGAACATCCTTCCTGCGTTCACCATGAAGGGGAAAGTGAGGCGAAATTGGACAGGTTCATGAATGTACAAAATACAAGCAGGTGAAGTCATTTGGTCCTTCAGGCATTTGCTAAGTTCGTGGCTGACATGATTGTGGCCTTAAGTTCACCTTCTTGCCTGACACCCCCTTGGAAATCAAAAATGCACCTAACTCAAGCCTTGAATATATTCAGTAACCCTCCAGCCTCCCTGCTTTCTGGGGAAGAGAAATGCAAATACTAATGTTTCAGAGATAGTAGGAACTGCCGATGCTGGAGAATCTGAGATAACAAGGTGTAGAGCTGGATGAACACAGCAGGCCAAGCAGCATCAGAGGAGCAGGAAGGCTGACGTTTTGAGCCCAGACCCTTCTCCTCATCCGCTTAGCCGAACTCGTCCTCACCCTCAACAACTTCGCTTTCAATTCCTCCCACTTCCTACAGACAAAGGGGGTGGCCATGGGTACCCGCATGGGCCCAAGCTATGCCTGCCTCTTTGTAGGTTACGTGGAACAATCTCTCTTCCGTAGCTACACTGACCCTAAACCCCACCTCTTCCTCCGTTACATTGATGACTGTATTGGTGCCGCCTCGTGCTCCCACGAGGAGCTCAAACAGTTCATCCACTTCACCAACACCTTCCACCCCAACGTTAAGTTCACCTGGACCATCTCTGATATCTCTCTCTCCTTCCTGGACCTCTCTGTTTCCATCTCTGGCAACCACCTGGAAACCGATATCCATTTCAAGCCCACCGACTCCCACAGCTACCTAGAATACACCTCCTCCCACCCACCTTCCTGCAAAAATGCCATCCCCTATTCCCAATTCCTTCGCCTCCGCCGCATCTGCTCCCAGGATAAGGCATTCCACTCCCAAACATCTCAGATGTCCTCGTTTTTCAAGGACCGCAACTTTCCCCCCTCAGTGGTCGAGAACGCCCTCGACCGTGTCTCCCGCATTTCCTGCAACTCATCCCTCACACCCCCTCCCCGCAATAACAACCAAAACAGAATCCCCCTCATCCTCATGTACCACCCCACCAACCTCCGGATTCAACGCATCATCCTCTGACACTTCCGCCATCTGTAATCCGACCCCACCACCAAAGACATTTTTCCCTTCCCACCCTTATCTGCTTTCCAGAGGGACCACTCTCTCTGTGACTCCCTTGTCCGCTCCACACTCCCCTCCAGCCCCACCACCCCCGGCACTTTTCCCTGCAACCACAGGAAGTGCTACACCTGCCCCTACACCTCCCCCCTCCCCCCCATCCCAGGCCCCAAGAAGGTTTTCCACATCAAGCAGAAGTTCACCTGCACATCTGCTAATGTGGTATATTGTATCTGCTGTACCTGTTGTGGCCTCCTCTACATCGGGAAAACCAAGCGGAGGCTTGGGGACCGCTTTGCGGAACACCTACGCTCGGTTCGCAATAAACAACTGCACCTCCCAGTCGCGAACCATTTCAACTCCCCCTCCCATTCCTCAGATGACATGTCCATCCTGGGCCTCCTGCAGTGCCACAAAGATGCCACCCGAAGGTTGCAGGAACAGCACCTCATATTCCACTTGGGAACTCTGCAGCCCAATGGTATCAATGTGGACTTCACAAGCTTCAAAATCTCCCCTCCCCCTACCGCATCCCAAGACCAGCCCAGCTTGTCCCCGCCTCCCTAACCTGTCCTTCCTCCCACCTATCCCCTCCTCCCACCTCAAGCCCCACCCCCATCTCCTACCTACTAGCCTCATCCCGCTCCCTTGACCTGTCCGTCCTCCCTGGACTGACCTATCCCCTCTCTAACTCCCCACCTACACTCACCCTTACTGGCTGCATCCCCGCCTCTTTGACCTGTCTGTTTCCTCTCCACCTATCTTCTCCTCTATCCATCTTCTATCCGCCTCCTCCTCTCTCCCTATTTATTTCAGAAACCCCTACCCCTCCCCCATTTCTCAAGAAAGGTCCGGGCCCGAAACGTCAGCTTTCCTGCTCCTCTGATGCTGCTTGGCCTGCTGTGTTCATCCAGCTCTACACCTTGTTATTTCAAATACTAATGACCCTCTGAGCAAGGAAATGCCTCTTAACTCTATGTGCCTCAATAACTCTGTTATTGCTATATAATCCTGCTGTTAAGCGTCTTGGGATATTTTGTTAGACTAAAGATGATATAGAAATGTAAGTCGTTGTTAAACTGGCAATGAAAACGGATAAAAACCATTCTACGTTTTGCTCTGAAATGAAATCTCTATGCGATATAAAGCGATCAGGTCCAGATGGTGAAATGGCCTGTTTTAAAAGCTGGGGGTGGCAGGGGCGGGGAGGGAGTGGGGCGCGGCTGGGGGGGGGGGGGGGGGGGTTGGGGGGGGGGCTGAGGTCAGCGGGGTGCAAATTTACAAGGTAATGTTCAGTCCCTCAGGCCTGTTCCGTTTTGCAGGACCTCTAAGTGCAAGATTGGGCCAGCAAGCGTGCAGTTCGGGAAAACCCTCACCTTGCTGCAGCAGAATTCTCCAGGCAGGATCCGGGTGCGTTGGTAACGTCTCCACTGACAGCCGTAGAGTCCTGCTAGGCAGGAGAGGAAAGGCTGGTACTCATAGCGCTGGAGCAAGCGTCGGCGAACAATCTGGAGCTTCCCCAGTTTGATCTTGGTGAGCTGGATCGGGGTGCTGCCCATCTGCCACAGGTCCAGGCCCTCGCTAATCCTGCAAAGAGAGACAGAGATGTGGATTTAACCAGTGCCGTTCGCAATCCCCAGCTGCCCCCAAAGCACTCTGCAGCCAATGGGAGGCTCCTTTGAACTGAAGGCACTTTTGCGATGCAAGTTCCTCACTGCCTCAGGAATGCCATGTTGTTGTTCCGACCTGCCAGGGGACAGCAGCTCAGATTTTTTTTTTTAATTGTTGCTCTCTTGCCTCGGAGATTGATAATCGTGCGTTCAAGTCCCACTCCTGAATACTGGCTTCACAAAGATCTAAGCCGATGCTCCCTGTGCACTCACTGAGGAAGCACTGCTCTAACCAAAGACAGGCACATAGCTGCATTTTTATAGCGCCTTCAACAACCTTAGGACTTCACAACATGGTTCACATTCAATGAAGTCCTTTTGAAGTGAAATGACTGCTTCTGTTGCTATAGTTGTACAGGAGGCCACATTTGGAGTATTGTGTACAATTCTGAACTCTTTATTTAAATAAGGACATAAATGCATTAGAAAGAGTTCAGGAAAGTTTCACTCAAATGCTTCCTGGGAAGATGGGCTTATCTTAGTGATAATGTCACTAAAAGAGCCCTGAAAATGTGAAGGAGCAAGGTGCAATAGAGGCGTTTCTGAGATATCAGTATTTCTCTTTTTTTTCATTTTTGGTTTGGAACTGTGGCTTCATGTTGAGAACTGAACTTTGTACAGCAAAGAGAGAAAAAAGACTGATACAAAAGCAGACATTGCTGGGAAACCTCAGCAGATCTGGCATCGTCTGTGGAGAGAAAGCAGAGTTAACATTTTGGGTCCAGTGACCCTTCTTCAGAACTGGCCTGGAGTGATAATGCAGATTGATTAACACTGTGGATGAACTGGCACTGAGATATTGTTATGCCCAGGGTTTGGCAGCTAGTTGCATGCTGAATGGATCGATCAAGGTAGGGCTGGTGCTTACTAGGCAACGATAGAAAGTGCTGAGAAAGAAAGAGGAGAAAAAGATTGAACTGGCTGTGACTGGGTTCTGGGGCAGGAGGCATTTTTGCTTTAGAAACTGCTAGACTGGGAAGCTGTTTTCAGTTTTTGCTCTCTCTAGTTGGGGGGGTGATGGCCCAGTGATATTATCACTGGACTGTTAATCCAGATGCCCAGATAACGTTCTGGGGACCCGAGTTCGAATCCTGTCTCAGCAGATGGTGGAATTTGAATTCAATTAAAAAAATCTTGAATTAGAATCCAATGATGACCATGAATCCATTGCCGATTGTCAGAAAAACCCACTTGGTTCCCCTTTAGGGAAGGAAACTGCCATCCTTGCCTGGTCTGGCCTACATGTGACTCCAGATCCACAGCTATATAGTTGACTGTGAATTGCACTATGGGCAATAAATGCTGCCTAGCCAGTGACGCCCTCATCCCATTAATGTATAAAGAAAATAAAAGTTATTCTTCAGTTCTTGATTTGTTGAAAGTTCTGAGAAAATAACACTGGTCTGCAAGAAATAAGCGAACTGCAGAAGCTATTTGGAATTCAAGCAAGATGTATAGTCTTGCAGGCAACATGGTGGCACAGTTGCCTCATTGAACCAGGGACCCGAGTTCAATTCCAGCCTTGGGTAACTGTGTGTGTGGAGTTTGCAATTCTCCCTGTGTCTGCATGCGTTTCCTCTAGGTGCTCTGGTTTCCATCCCCAGTCCAAAGATGTACACGTTAGGTTGATTAGCCATGCTAAATTGTCCATAATGTCCAAGGATGTGCAGGCTAGGTGGGTTAGCCATGGGGAATTTAGGGTTATTGGGATGGGGTGGATCTGGGATCGATACCTTTGATGGGCCAGTGTTGACTCAATGGGCTGAATGGCCTGCTTCCACACTGTAGGGATTCTATGATACAGTCTTTTGCGTGTGTATTACAACCCATCTACCAAGGATTTCATGAAGGCCTGACATTTATTACGGTAACAGTTATCGAACAGGCAAACTACAACTTCTTTTCTTTAATTTATCCCTTAACTGTGCTGTTTGTCTATCAGTATGTGAGGGAGATTGTGATCATAGAAGATTTGGCTTAGAACATAAATAATAATTAGATTAGCTTATAGTTCACTTGTGTTCTGCTAAAAGTTACATTCCAAATAATAAATTGCTAATTTGTTTTCAGTTATAAACTTCGTGTCTGTGCATCAAATCATAGCCTCCATGCCATAATATCTCACTGAAACATGAGGAGACTTCAGGAGTGAGGCCTCCTGCTGTACTCAGCCAACATTTCACTTCCCAGAAAGGTGCAACCAAAAACGGGGACCCTTGCTAAACTTTCTCTCCTCGTGAGCCCTGCGTTGAGGCTTGTCTATCTCTCGCTGCCCCACTCGAGAGTGCCCCAGGACCGAGTTGAAGGAACTATGAACCTGTACTCCAAGGTCTCTTTGTTCAGCAACATTCCTCAGGACCTTACTATTAAGTGTATAAGCCCTGCCCTGATTTGCCTTTCCAAAATGCAGCGCCTCACGTTTACCTACATCTGCCACTCCTTGACCCATCTGATCAAGATCTTGTTGTACTCTGAGGTAACCTTCTCCACCATCCACTAAACCTCCAATTTTGGTGTCATCTTCAAACTTACCAACCATACCTCCTACGTTCACATCCAAATCAGGGTTGAGAAGGAGAGTCTTTCATGGTAACCTCAGCTGGTGTGAGGGTTGAACCCACGCCGTCGGCATCACACTGCTTCTGAACCAAACCATCAAGCACGGACCAGCACGGTCAATCAAGTCCAGCACGGACTATCCATCAAACACATGACCCGCATAGTCTGGGCACCACAGTGTTAGAGCAAGTTCTATATTCCAGCAGGAATCTCAAATTTGGGGGATCATTTTAAGTCCAGAATTTACTGCAGGTGCTCTCATGTTGTAACGGGGGTCGGCTTGGCTCAGTTGGCTGCATGGTTGGGTTCAGAAGCAGTGTGATGCCGACAGCGTGGGTTCAATCCTCACACCAGCTGAGGTTACCATGAAAGACTCTCCTTCTCAACCCTGATTTGGATGTGAACGTAGGAGGTAAGGTTAGTAAGTTTGGACATGACACCAAAATTGGAGGTTTAGTGGACAGTGGAGAAGGTTACCTCAGAGTACAACAAGATCTTGATCAGATGGGCCAAGGAGTGGCAGATGTAGGTAAACGTGAGGTGCCGCATTTTGGAAAGGCAAATCAGGGCAGGACTTATACACTTAATGGTAAGGTCCTGAGGAATGTTGCTGAACAAAGAGACCTTGGAGTGCAGGTTCATAGTTCCTTCAAAGTAGAGTCACAGGTGGGCAGGGTAGTGAACAAGGCATTTGGTACGCTTGTCCTTATTGGTTAGTGCATCAAGTATAGGAGTTGGGAGGTCACATTGCGGCTGTACAGGACATTGGTTCAGCCACTTTTGGAATACTCCATGCAATTCTGGTCTCCCTGCTATAGGAAGGATGTTGGGAAACTTGAAAGGTTCAGGAAAGATTTACAAGGATGTTGCCAGGGTTGGAGGGTTTGAGCTATAGGGAGAGGCTGAATAGGCTGGGGCTATTTTCCCTGGAGCATCGGAGGCAGAGGTGTGACGTCATAGAGGTTTATAAAATCATGAGGAGCATGGATAGGGTAACTAGACAAGGTCTTTTGCCTGAAGTGGGAGAGTCCAAAACTAGAGGGCATAGGTTTAAGGTGACAGGGGAAAGAATCAAAAGGGATGTAAGAGGAATTGGTGGAGGCTGGTACAATGACAACATTTAAAAGGCATTTGGATGCATTTATGAATAGGAAGGGATATGGGCCAAATGCAGGTAAATGGGATTAGATTTATATAGGATATCTGGCCGGCATTGATGAATTGGACTAAAGGGTCTGTTTATGTGCTGTACAGCTCCACTCTATGACTCTCTCACCTCACCTGGAGTATGGTGACCCTCAGGTTAAATGACCACCAGTTGTCTCTCTATAATGAGGGAGCAGCCCTACGGTCTGGTAACACAATGGTGACTTGACATATTGTAAGCATTAAAATCACCTGACCCCCATCCCACCTTCCTTTTCAAAAATGGGACAATTCAGACAATGAATTCAAGATCACCAGTTTCATACCACTACCCAAACTGAAAATTACCCACAACATTTCTTTGACGGCAGAGAACTATGATAGTAACATCAATATCATGGCTGTATACAGCACCTTTATTACTATAAATCACTTCAAGGTGCTTTAAATAAGTAACATCATCAACTGAGCTACACAAGGAGATCATAGAATCCCAACAGTGCAGATAGAGGTCATTCAGCCCATCGAGTCTGTACCAAACTGAAGAGCATCCCATGCAGACCCAGTCCCACAATCCATGGCTAACACAACTAGCCTGCACCTCTATGGACACTATGGGGCAACTTAACATGGCCAAACACCTAACCTGCACATCTTTGGACTGTGGGAGGAAACACACAGTCACAGGAAGAATGTGCAAACTTCACGCAGACAGTTGCCCGAGGGTGGAATCAAACCTGGGTCCCTGGTGCTTTGAGGCTCCAGTGCTAACCATTGTGCCAAATTAGTAGGGCAGATGCCCCAATATACAAGTTAGGATAGAAGTAGGCCACTCGACCCCTAAAGCCTGCTCTGCCATTTGCTCAGATCATGACTGATCTAATTCCTGCCTACCAACAATAACCTTTGACATCCTTGCTTATCAAGAATCTATTTACTTCTCCGTTAATAGTACTCAAAAACTCTGGCTCCACTACCATTGGAGGAAGAGAATGGTCTTCTGTGTGAAACAGTTTCTCTTCATCTCTGTCCTAAATGGCACTCCCTTTTCTTGAAACAGTGACCACCTAGTTCTTGAATCTCTTGCAGGAGGAAACATTCTCCCCACTCCCACCCTCCCAAGTCCTCTCTGAATCGTATATGTTTCAATTGAGTCACCTCTTACTCTCCTAAACTCCAGTAGATACAAGCGTAGCCAATCCTAATAAAACT